GTAGACACAATCATTGTTGGCCGACTTGGAGGTATTGACTAAGCACAACGCCAACCTAAGAGCCAGCATGCCTTAGCTCAGTCTTGGCATGTCAAAAGTCTATATCTTTAGAATAACAAATAGTAGCACGGTTTTGACATACCACGTGGACCAATGAAAAATGGAGAGGAATCCACTCCTAGTATGCGGCAATATCGTTTGGTGGTTTGGCCAGCACTGTTTGGCAGTTTTGGTCTATACACGTGTGAGAAACGTAGAGGGCAGTACAACCATGCGTCCAACAAAGGACAACAGAGGTAGTGCGTGCACAACTTGGGGCTGCATGGCCATCCTAGAAAATGAGGCGCGAGTAGACTCTGATGGTAAGAAAACTTTTGCAATAATCTCTCTCTACAGTGCTCCGCCTTCTCTCTTTTTCTCCAAGAAAACTAACTTGGCCATCAGAGGGGTTTTTCGGCAAACCCACCCGTGTGGTTAGCTCATCGTTGCTTTGTTTACAATGAGTCGGAGTCCGTTCAAAGTCCAAACGAGCTTGGTAGAAGGTGTACGGAAGACGAAGAATATTTCCTTCCCGTACAGGTGGGGCACAATAAAACAGACCACCAAAGGACAAATAGGTCATTCAATTGATTAAGATCTATGAAATTGTGATGAAATCACTAATACCAGACAAAGTCTAAATATTTCTACAAGCTCCTAAAATCAATTAAACTAACAATTAATGAACACAAATCAATACACACATACATAAATACAATAGAAAAAACACTGTAAACCTAACGATGCACAGAGACACAAACACTGAATCACCGAATCACAAATTCAGAAGCATGCGATGCTAGGAACTTGAACTCAAAGTTCATTGCAAACCTAATGATGTAACAAGAAGCTATGGATTGAAGGTGCTAAAACTACTTTCAAAATTATGACAAGAGTGCACCAATCAATTACTCAAAACAGTAGGTAAGATTCGATTGCGAAGTGAAATTCGAATTTACCTTTGCCGATTCACCGAGTTGATGATCCTCGAAAATCTTCGAGATTAAAGAGACCTTGATCGAGCCTATTGGTGATTCGAGTGAGACATCCTTTGAAACCAATGTAAGTATAGAATCCAAACACTTTTTGCTAATCTGCAAAAGTAGACAAGCAAATGAGATATTTGAAAGTTGAATCCACATGAAATTGATGTATATACATTACAGATATATATATATATAGAGAGAGAGAGAGAGAGATTGATTCATATTAGTGGAATGGACTCACAAGCAAGAAACAGAGAGAGAAATATCGCAAGCGAGAGAGAAATATCGCAAGCGAGAGATAAAAGAGAGAAATATCAATGGAGAGTAAAAGGGGCTTGGGCAAGGCAAGTAAATTGGGGGAAATAAACAACCAAAAGTACATAGTTTTAAGTATTTGCAACTCCATATTTTTACTGCTACCTTACTATCGCAAGTAAGGTTTTTTTTTTTTTGCCACCACCTATCTATGTATCAAATTTTGAGGTCGCAAATAATTTTTTGCGATGGCCAATAACATGGTCGCAAAAAACATAGACGCAAAAAGCTATTATTCTAATAGTAAAGTAGCACATAATTATTTTGGTTTTTTTTCTCTCCCTTCCAGTCCTTATTCTAAATTTGGACTGGAGGGTCCATTCTTGGTTATTGTGACCCCATTTGGGGCTTATTTTGGTAACTTGAACTGTTCAAATTTTAGTATCTTTAGAGTAGATCATTTATATGTAAAAAAATTAAATTGATTAGATATTAATAACCACGTTTTTGAAACGTATTTACTTTTCAAAAAATAAACGACAAGTATAATTTCAAAGACAAATCATTTATTTTTTAATGTTTTTGTTTTCATTTTTGTTTAAGAAATTACTTTTGTTTAATAAAAAAAAAAAGGTGAAATTGAATCTAAAATTTATAAATAAAAAAAAGGGTATTTTTACTTGTTGTCAGAACAAGTTTTTATTCCCTATTCCATCTCCATCACCGTTCGTCACTATTGACCTCCAACAACAACCTTTCGGCGATTGGTCAGTCATCGTTTGTGACTTTCAACGGCCCTTTGACTGCCTCATGACACTCTTGCTGCCTACTTTTGATTTCTACCTTTGTCCACTTTCACCATTTGTCACCACATTTGACAATTCACCAAAATTTTCTTAATTTTTATTTTTATTTATTTTTGTGTGAGTGATTTTCCGATCACACTGTCAACTCAGTAATCAGTTGGAGAGAACTGGCAGAATAGATGACACCTGGCTGACCTGTAACAGAAAGAGAAGATTCCGACGGTGGTTCGTTCACCTGGGGCACTCCGATGATCAAGTCAGTATATCTCTCAAAGATAGCAAAAGTGCTTAACTCACTGTTCAGAATATACTTTGCGTACCTTAGACCTATCGGGGGTGCCTCTCTTTTATAGTTAACTCAATCCTATTCCCACTAGAAGCCTAGCTTCAATGGACTTTTGCTCAGTGCTTATCCTGGACTCTCCAAGAGATAAAGATAAACTCCTTAAAAGTGTTATCCTTATCCATGCTAAAGTCCTTCCTCATTCTAGGACTCCTTGTGTCTTATCCGCTTATCTCGTATTCCGATATCTTCGGAGATAACCTCAGCCTAACCGAGATAACCTCGGCGTCATAACCTGGACACGTGGCACCTCGACTGACACGTCGGCGTCACCTTGGCCACGTGTTGGGACTCAGAAAATATATCCCCACAATTTTATAATATTTTTGTAGGTCAAGTAAGTTTTTGTTTTAAAAAAAAAAAAAAAAGTAAACTTGTTTCATTTTCTTTGATAAAAAAAATAAAAAATAAAAATTTAAAAATTAAAAATCTGGTTACACTCATCAAAAAATATAATTTCCATTTTAGCAGAGGCTAATAGATCACATGTATAACCGCAAAAGAAAAGTCTAGCATTCATAAAAAGATTTTATAAAACAATAATGAAATATAGATCAACAATGTGTATTTAACCCAAGGGGTTTGTCCAAGTTGGTAAGACTTGGGGATAGAAATTTCCAGGTCCAAAGTTCAACTCTCCTCGGGGCTAGTTACCCGGGCGTAAAGCACAAAAAGGTTGGGAGGATGAGCCTTCCAGACCTGGACGAATTGTATTCAGTGTCAACAATGTGGGTTCGAAACCCTATCACTGTGCAAATTCGCAACTTACCGCTACATGGTTAAATAGCCCTACTATATAGCATAACCCAAGAGTGACCTCTAAGGCCTTAGCTCCTTAGGGTCTAGTCCTAAAGATCACCCCTCTGTGGTTAGGCGTTATATAAATCAATAATGTGTATTTAAAGTATTTGTTATGGAGCCGAAGCTTGAATTAATTTTAACCATTGAATTTAATTTTTTGAATATATTTTTTTATTTTTTATTTTATTTTATTTTATTTTTAGAACATAAGACATTCATCTCATAATAAACAATTTGCAAAATAGTTTTTAGCAAATCATGCGCAGGACTAACAAATGCTCTATCAACCTTGGAAATACGTAAAAACTCAAAATTAACACGAAAAGACTTAATAGCCTAAGCCTCCGTTTGGGAAGTGGGTTGACTTTTTGGCTTTTTGGCTTTTTGGCTATTTTAGCCTGGGCTATTTTAGCTTGGTTTGGGAAGGACTTTTTGGCTTTTTGGCTTTTTTGACTTTTTTTGTGAGAGAGGATTGTAATGATTATGGGTTGGATTTGATGTTTTATTTTTTGTGGCTAAAATAGCCTATTTTGTTTTTTGTGGCTATTTTAGCCCCAAACCAAGTTCCCAAACAATGCTTAAAATAACATTAAGAGAAGTCCACTCTGAAATTCTTCTTCCATGCAAACCTTCCACCCGCACCTTGCAATCCAAGAAGATGACCACCTGAAGAAAACCATGTTGCAATGCCCATTCCATTGCCTTCATGCAAGCCAAACTTTCCGCCATTGTTGCTGATGGGAGAAACAACTTGGCAACTTCCTGTGCTACCTGATTCTGATACTCATCATAACATATCCAAGTTAGTGTGTATGTTTGTGTATGGTCACATGGGATCTTAAAATATAAACAGTTCAGGTCAACAAAACAGGGCCTGTGGTGAACCCCATTGGCCCGAACAGTGCCTCTTTAGTCTGCACGGGAGAGGATCCTCTCCCATAATAAAAGTTACTGTGGATTGGTTTGGCAAGGGCTCATTGGGCTTTTTTGGCTTAATGAGCCATAAAAGACAGAATAGGCTCATGAGTCACAACAGACAAAACATCCCATCCAATCCCATAATCATTACACTCTTTTCTCATAAAAAAATCAAAAAAACCAAAAAGCCAATAGCCATTCCTAAACTAAGCTTTTGAGCCCAGGCTCATATAATCAAAAAAGTCAAAAAATCAAAAAGTCAACCCACTTTCCAAACAGAGGCTGTGTATACTTGTGTACCATACATACTATATTTAAAAGATGATGCAAAATGACAGTTTTTTTTGAAGAAGACATATTACAACAAATATTTCTATCCTAAAAGGGAGGGAGGCAATTAGATTTTAACTCCAGACCTTAGGTCTAGGGAAGGGGGTCCTGACCACTGGGCTACCCCTTTTGGTCTCGTAAAATGACACAGTTAAAATGAAATAGTAATTTGCATAAGAGTTACTCGAAATAATAAATCTTATATATAAAAAAAATTACTTAGCCACGTGGCACTTAATATCATTGAAATGGGTCTTATTTTAAAATTTTATTATTACCTGACAAATTAGAAAGTGAATTTTTTTTTATAATACCTAAGTTTGTATAGCTTTTTCAGTCTAATCAGATATAAATAGAATTGTAAATAAAATCAAACTTAGCTTAAAATTTTAATTAATTTCAAAATGTGATTAAATTTCACTTATTTTCTTCTCAAGCCTATCACATGTTTTAATGGAGAGGAGCTCGAGTAAGTTGGTTTTTAGCCGTGTGTATAATTGAGTCAAATTTATTAAGTTGTTGAAATTTGACTTAAAAAGAGATCAATTAATATTGTTTGGACTTGTGGAGTCCACTACGAGTCACATCTCAATGATCTGAATTATTTATTTTTTAGATCACAATATATAAATTATTTATATAAAAAATTAAGTCGATCCGATAATTTTAACTACCTTAATTTATGATATTTATTTGTAAAAAAATTAATATTTAAAAACCAAACCATACATTTTTTTGGGGACCGGAGAGAAGCTGGGTTCACTTGACGTGACGTTTAACTTTTTTAGAATAATATTTTGATATTTTTAACAGAGACTCGTGCCAAACATCCTACTAATTCATTTTAGAGCCCTATATATAGAGAAGCTCTGTAACTATGAAATCCTTGAGGCGAGTGTGCTTCCTTGTCTGATGTGTGTGCATGTTAGAAGCAAGTAATTGCTTTGCTTCCCAAAGCAGCCAAAAACAGACAATAATAAAATATTTGCAACAACAACCACAGTCGATCGAGTAGTAAGAAAGTGGCAAGTATGATGGAGGAATCAGCAGCAGCAGCAGCAACAACAACAACATCTTCCGAGGTTCATGAATTGCCAGGGTTTTAATTTCATCCCACAGAGGAAGAACTTGTCGGATTCTACCTCAAAAACGTAATTTTCGGCAAAAAATAGCGCTCCGATATCATCGGTTTCCTCAACATCTACCATCATGATCCATGGGACTTGCCCGGTATGCATTGCTTTTCAACCCTTACAAATGTTTTTCTGCTCTGTTTTTTTAATTGAAAAATATTTGTTAAACAGAGTTTATATATATATATATATATATTAAAGGTCTCATGGAGTGGTTTAGAGAGAAGAAAATAAATAAATTTCTATTGGTTTCAATCATTTCTTTAGATTGTTAAAGATGAGAGAAATGGGAAAAAATGAAAAAAAATTTATTTATCTTAAAAACACTTTTTTAATCTCTCCAAAAGTGAAGAGATTGAAGCTTATTTTTTGGGGCCATTTCCCAATATAAGCCATTTTTGTATTGTATTTCCAAAATTAGGCCAACTTCTGACGGAATTTCAAAACTAAGTTAAAACGCTATTACTATTCGCGCTTTCACTGTTGGGAGCGTAAAAGTAGGTGAACAGTAAAATCGCTATTACAAATAGCGACTTTGATTAATAAGTCGCTATTACAAATAGCGCTTCTAGGGTTTGTTAAAAACGCTTAAAAAAAAAAAAAAATTCTCTCTATTTTTTATATATCTTTTCATAAAAAATCATTTAGTTATTCCAGATATATTAGTTTTTTCTTTAAGCAAACAGGTGAGAAGAAAACACAATAATTTCTTTTCAATGTTAACTTAACAAATTATTTCTTTCATTTTTCTCTTTTGAGTTTCCAACAGACTACAAGAGTCTGTAATTGAAAAATGAAAAATGAAAAATAATTGCTTTAGTTGAGTCTGTAATTGAAAAATGAAAAATGATTGCTTTAGTTTTCATTATTTTTTTGGTCTTTATTTCTTTATTTCCTTTGAATGTGCACTAAATGATTTTTTAATAATTGAAAAATGTAAGTCAAACAGGGCTAGTGAATTAGGGAGAGAGTGGTATTTTTTTTTTCTTTTTTTTGTATCAATTGATGACTTAACATATAGTATGAGAATTCAAATTTTAAGAAGTCCTGCATTTGATTTTCATTACATAGATGTGATTATTTTATATGAAGCTAAAAGTAACTCTAATTTTGATTTTTTTTTTTTAACGGGACTCTAATTTTGATGTTGAAATTGTATTTTAGTGTGTTAAAGTGTACAAGCAAGATAATGGGAAGTCTACTTTTGTGTGTTATTTACTTTTTAATTTAGTGAGTAAATGGGTGTTCTAATAAAAATATAAAACTTATTAAATAATGATAGAACTCACATGTATGTGTTAAACATAGAGAATAAATATATAAAATGGGAGAAATATGGTGCCCGTGGAATTTGGGATCAAATGTTACAAAATAGTGCCAACTTTTTAAAAATAACAACTATGGAAGACTCAAAACACCTAAAAAAATAAAGTCATATTTGTATAAAATAACAAAAGTAGCCTTGTTTTTTTCAGTCTTTTGCAAACAACCTACTACGTCCGTCACTCCCCTACCAATATCCGCAATTTCCCTACCTACCTTTGCTACCCTCAAATCATTCCTACTCAACCCAACACCCTAGTTGACCTAAAACCTAACCACTAGAGCTACCCAAAACCCAAAATTTACAAAGTGCACAATTTGGAATGGGTTTTGACAGAGGACTTCATCACCAATTGCCTGATATCTCTACATCCTTGACTCTAGTGCCTAAATTCATGCTTTATGCGATCTCCATTGATGAGCTTCTTTGACACTTGCTCAATTAGGGTTTGCTTCTTTCTCAATTTTGTTATGGAACATTGTCCAATCTAGTGTTTAAAGGTCTAATGAGATATAGTCATTTATCTCATATTTAAGCCACTAAATTAGTATTTTCTCATTTTTTTTTTTTAACCCATTTTTGTTGTATTCCTGATTGTAGGAAATAATTAGTAGTATTTATTCATTTATAATTTTTAAGCTTTTCAAGTTTCAATTGCAAACAACCTTTATTGATGAATAATATTTTGTTATTTGGTCACTATAAATAGCTTTTATGGTTGGGTTGTTTGCAGGCACATTGCTAAGACATTGTATGGTGATGATGATGAAGAGGTTACTCCTCAGAATAGCGGCACAGTGGAGGAGCCAAAATTTTTAGGTCTTTACCCTGGATCAAATGAGAAGGTTTTCCTTGTTTTGGTTTAACATCAATTATGTGAAAATGAATCTTTATCATCTTCAGAAGCTTATTACTGCTTTTAATGTATGTATGGGAATTATTTTTATTTTTTAGATTCTCTTGAAGAATGGTCCTAATGGGTTTTATGTTCAGCTTGGTAAGGACAGGAAGGGATACTAGCCTAAAAGAGCCTCGGTTTCCTATTTACAGCCTCATTTGTATTTGTAATGGGACTACTAAATTTTTGGAGCTTTAATTCCTTGCCTACTGCCATTATCTGCATATATGTAAATGCTTAAGTTAAGCATCTATGCTTCGTTTTGTTTTCAAGTAAATTAGGGATGAATACTTAGCCACTACTGGTCATTAAGAAAGTCTTGTGATGTTAATTTTCTTCCTTTTTTTTCCCCTTCAAAACAATTAACATCAAGGGATAATCTGTGGATCAGATACAAAGGGTTCGGTCATGCCTGTTTGGTTTAACTTGGTTATTCGAATCAAGCCTTCAAGTTTCAAAAAATCCATACATATACAGACTGAAATTAATAAATGTAAACATAAATTTATGCATAATGTTATCATAAAATCTATAAACCTAAGACTGAACATAAACATATCTAGAGATTCTAGACTGCTCTTGCATGCTTTTCTCTCTTTATGCAAGCATTCATGTGCTGACACTTGTTCTCTTGGAAGAAGAATATACCTTGTGGAATATGTCTTTTATTTTGCATATTTGTGTTGTGAACTGCACGATAGAAAAAAAGATGGATTATAAAAGATTAAGGGGCATATATAAAATTTCAATGGGGACAATTTGAAGAACTTTATAAGGACAGGTTAACTTGTAATTTTGAAAGAGTTGAGGGGAGGCACTGCCCCCTCTGGGCCAATAATGGCTCCGCCACTGGCCACATGAATATCTTGCTTCTTCTATTGATACCCATTTCTAGAGTGTTTTTCTTTTCTTTTTGTTTTTAGTATTGTAGATGCAGACGCAGTAGTCGTCGTTGTTCTTATTATTATCTGAATCCAATACTGTGTCATATTTATTGTCGTTAATGAATAATTTTTGTTTGTTGCTATATAGCCTCTGCTCCTCGTGTTTCATCAGTATTGAATAATTAAAAGTGGGATACAAAATGTGCAGTTTATCAGCTCCCTATAGAATTGACAGTGGTCACATCATCCTCCCAGAATATCGCTACTACTTTTGTAGTTAATTTCATAAATTCCATTAATCTTTAAAACAATATTTTCCCTTATTCTTGACCTTGCAGGTTGTTTTTCTCACTACTTCCATTCATGTCCTTTTAAACTTCTTGATTTTTTTTTGGAAGGTTCACCTGTTCCAGCATAATCCTCACTGACTGAATAATGACTCATTTTTTATTCCTGAAAATCTTCTCTGCTTCAGGCAGCTGCCCCTCTATTCTTGCCAATGTTTGTCACATTATTCTAGAGCAAACTATGCTTCAACCACTGAGCTGAAACTCCATTCCAGTGTCTGTGGTTATCTCTCAATCATATTGTCATATAGCTGGAAGGTTTTGGAATTGGTTGTTTTGGATCATTTGGTCGTCAATCTTCCTTTTATACTTCATCCCTTTCTTCTTTTCCTTGTCGTGGTCCTACTTCTGAAACATTTTGTATTAGAATATCTGGTTTTGCGCCAATCTGATTTTGTCAAAGTTAAAAGTCGCATTTCATCCAGTTTTTATTTGTATCACAATTTGATTTCGGTATTAGAATATCTAGCTTCCTCTAATTTTTAAAAAGTTTTATCATGTGCCTAGGGCAAAGAAGATGCTATCCGCAAGTATGAAAAGTCCTGCATGATGTTTTTTATAGGTAAAAGAATATAACTAATGTATGACATATTTTAATACTTACAATCATGTAACTATAGAATGTCAAAAAAATTTACCAGTTCGTTTAATGCCCCCCTTTTAAAAACCTTTACTAAAGCACGTGAAGCTTCCACTAAGGTTTTTAAGCACCAAAGTTGATGATAATTGCACGTGAAGCTTCCACTAAGGTTTAACCTTTACTAAACCTTTACTAATATATTTTTCATCAGTATGTTTCTGTTATTATTTTCCTCCAAGGGGGAGTACCTGGAGGACAATTGCATTTGGCCATGATGCAATAACTTGGTGCTCAAATATGCTGGCTGTTGTGGATTAATTGTAAAATATGGATTTATAAATAAATAAATAAAAAGAACAAGAATCTTAAAAATATGGATTATGTGGATGCTCTTTGAGGTCTCTTGGTGCATCTAGCATCCACAGATGGGAGATCGACTTTGATCCATGCCTTCGTTTTATTTTTTTAGGATATCATGCACAAGCTTCAGTTCAGAACTTTTTTATGAACTGTTTCGATATGGCAGTTCATGCATCTATAAACATTGCCTGCTTCTTTCACCCCCTCAAAAACAAATAAAAAATAAAAAATAAAATAAATGAATAAAATGACTTGTATTTGTTGTAATATTTAATTCATACATGATTGAAAACATTATTATCTTAGAAATTTTTTTGACAAGTAACATGTGTTATTTTAGATAAAAAAAATGTAGACTCTATTACCCTGGAAGATGCTATTGAGTTGCTGCGCTATCCTGCGACATTGGTATGTCTTCATCTAAATAGAGGGTTTTTAAAAAAAAAAATTATTTGTCATTGTCAAACTCAGTTTTCCTGTATCCATGTTAGGGAAACCATCCTGATGATGGCCCGCCAGTTGTAAGCTTGCAAAGTTTGGATTTTCCATTAGACATCGACGAACAATCGTGCCTGTACCCACAAGGTATATCTTTCTTTGTTAAGCATGCCTTTATTAAATAGTTATGGTATTTTCTAACTCTTTTTCTTCACTAAATTCAGCTTGAATCTCCTATTGTAGTACTCATTTTAATATAAGAAGTATCCACAGCGAGTTTAACTAATAAGCTTTTGGCCACGTCTATGCTTCATAGCCCACAAGGTATATCTTTCTTTGTTAAGCATGCCTTTATTAAATAGTTATGGTATTTTCTAACTCTTTTTCTTCACTAAATTCAGCTTGAATCTCCTATTGTAGTACTCATTTTAATATAAGAAGTATCCACAGCGAGTTTAACTAATAAGCTTTTGGCCACCATATTAGCCTCCTATAGCAAAATCTTATAAATGGGTTATTAAAACTAGACAGCTGGTGTATATAGGTCAATTCTCAGCCATACACAGTTCAGAGTATTTTTATCAGTTTGTGAAGTAGGTATAGGAGTTGGATGGGGAAGACGCCGAAATCTGCCCTTAAATGTGGCACTTGGGGGTAGGGGTATTATTTTAGATGAATATGAACACCTACTACTTATAAAAAATTGAATATGAACACCTAATACTAATTAAAAAATTAAATATGAAACACCTAATGGAGAACTATGTTAATACATATATAGGAAGTGTTATTTATGGAGTGAAATATCTCAGTCACTGTCATTTTGAGGTCCCAAAATAAGGAGAAGACACTTACAAAGACATTGAATATTGAACAAGTTGTGCAGACAGCGATGAAAAGAATTATTAAAGCATTATATGAAGGTTTGTAAAACATAACTTAAGTAATAATTTGGTGAAACAAAAGAATGAATTTCCAGCATGAAATGCTTGTCACGTAACAACAGGCCTGAGTTGTCTTTATGTCCTAAATATTGATTAAATTACACATGATTAACCATGCATATATGCTTTACTTTTAACTACCAAGTACCAACCAATTGCACGTGTATTTATTTGTGAGATTGCCTTTTTCCTTTTCCTGTCTTCCCCTTGTGAGGTGGGCAGATTGAATCTCAAGGGTCCTGCCACAGACATATTCTGTTCTTGATTTCAGAGACCAAACTTAAGGCAAAACTGGCAAATATAAAGCCTCTCCAAAACAAGGAGGGAAATGAAAAAAATTAGAATAGAAAGGAAGAAAGAAACATACAACTATTGGGAGTATTTTTGGCTTTTGCAAAAGCAATGCACAACTTTTCCAAAGTATTGGACCCTTGGAAATGCTTTAGCGGCAGAACTACAGCTCTGCTAGAGGGCTGCCCTCTTAAACTAACAAGAAGAGAAAGATTCTAACCTACTGGGATAATCCAGTTGGCTGGAACACCTACATCTCATTAGGAGGTCAAGATTTTAAGTCTTGTCACTGGCAAGACTCCCCTTAGCCTACAGCCTCCAATGTACCCAAAAAAAGGAAAAATATAGAATATTAATTTAAATAATAAATATATGAATAAACCTTTAGGAGTGCAGTCATAAGGATTGAGTAGATTGGCCGATCTGCATACTGTATTATACATTGAATTTAATGGGTTTATAATTAAATGAACCTTTAGGAGTGCAGTAATAGGATTGAATAGGCGGGCTGATATATGGACAAACAGCTGCACACTGTATGATACATTGAATTTGGTGGGCGTATAATTAAATAAACCTTTAGGAGTGATGCATTGAAATTTGGTGGGCTTATAATTAAATAAACCTTTAGGAGTGTAGTCATAGAGATTGAGTGTTGTTTGGAATGGATATGTGATATACATTTAGCGATGTCTGAGGAGCGCAAATTATTATTGGCAAACAATTATTTTCCCTTGAACTCAACTGGTGAATTCCTCTTGTAAATCTTCCCATCATAAATGTTTTAAAATTTGGATTAAGTGGATGGAAAATTGGATCAAGAATTGGGAAAAAAAAGAAAAATCTTTTCACAAATTCAAGTGCAGATTTGTGATACTAAGATCTTTAAAATTCATATCAAGCAAATTTGATGTGGATTCGCTGTGTTGGTGAGATTATTATTTCTTGATTAGCTTTTGTAATTGTTTTCCTATGCTGGTTTAATACATACACGTTTTTCTTGCTTCCAAGGGACTGCTGTTTGAACCTTAAGTCTATATTTTTTAATTGAATTTGTTTCACATCAAAAAAGAAGAGGAAAAGAATAATACACGCATAACATTCACCCTAATTGGTAAACCATGTTAAATTTACTGCCCATCCATGATGCTAAGATTTAGTGCGACTTGGAAAGTTTGCATGAGATCGTGAGTTGAAGTTTTCAGATCCCAACTCCATTCTCTACTAGTAGAAGGGTAAACAGAAACGAAACACACTGTAACTTGAAAGATCCAAAGAGGCAAGTACAGCTCGGAAGAAGTCTAATGAATAGTCTAATAACAGTGTACATCTCAGTTACTTGTTGAGATGGGGTGGAGCAGAGGAAAATTCTTTTTAAAAAATATTCACTCCGGTCCCTGTTGAGATTATTTCATTCAGAGCGCATATTATTTGTTTTGATCGTCACTTTTTTCCTTTTATATATTTGTCATCTTTGAGAATTCTTATTTTGTTAACTTGGTTTTCATCTATTTAAACCTTTTGCACAGAACTTGAAGCCGAAAGATATAACCTTTGAGAAAGCATTAGAGCTTTTGTTGGGTAAAGATGTAAAACGATGGGGCCGACCGAAGAGCAAACCAAAGCTTGAAGGGGCCGTTGAGGCGATATAGGCATGACATATTCTATGGCCAAGGCCCGGTACAAGAAATTTAAAGTCAGTGCAATTGGTATGCATATATAAAGACATCCATTTGCGGCATCTCCTCCAGTTCTTCCATTGGTGAGGTTTCAACAGAGCCAATACAGGTTGTATCTAACTCACACCAACATATCTGATGGCAGGAAATGTAGTGTAATGGACGTTAGTAGTAGCCAATTTTGTTGTAATTCATGAATAAGCTTAAGTAGTATATATGTGGCCAAAATTTGATTTAATGTAGTGTTACTTGGATTCCCTTTGATTTGGCAAAAAACATCCTTTACAAAAATATTTCTTAAAAAAATGTTTTTTGTAGTCACATTTTTTTATGTTTGGTTGCAACTTTAAAACTAATGTGCTAGCTAATGATTGTATTAGTAGTGGTGGAGCTGGTTGTGTTGGTGGTATGGTGGTGCTGGTGGCGGGTGGTGGTGTAGTGGCGACATTAGTAAGATTTAGTTGGGAAAACGCTATCATTTTTAAAAATAAAAAAAGTTTTTTCCCAAATGAGTGTTTTGAATTTATGTTAAACTTCTCAGAATGCCAAAAAATAAAAAATATAAATGAACGGAACGTTAGGATGGGACAGGGACAATTTTTGAACAAATTGCACTTTTATATCTACCTATTATATTATTTGGATCAGATATTGTAAATAGTTCATTAATTCATTGCAACTTCTTGGACCCAGAGCAGAGAAACTTAAAAGGGTCGTTACTATTGTGCACTTATTGTAGTTAGTACAACAGTGGTCTGTGCAGTTTTGCACTGATGCAATAACTGTAGGGATGTTGCAATTACATAGAGTCAAGCAAGAGTCCAAATCCGAAAGGCCTTTGGTTGTTGATGTTAGGGATGTCGCAATTACATAGAGTCAAGCAAAAGTGCGAATCCAAAAGGCCTTTGGTTGTTGATGTCAAGGTTGTCGCCAGTGCTAACCCCGAATATTTCATCACTACAATACCTTTGATAGAACCCAATGCGACTCTCAACCCTTGAATCCAGGCCATGACTGCATATTGCCATATATGATGTTTGTGATGACGCCGTACCTGGGAACCCAACTTGCTGATTGGTAAGCTGCTGACGGCGTTCAAGTTTCGGTGATGATCGCGTGGCACGAAGGCTTTGGTGATCGTGGGGTCATCTAGAACCATAAGACTATCTTGAATGAGATGACTGGGTCAGTTTCTACTAGATCAGAGTTGTTCAGGAGGTCTAGCCCTTAGGCCTCTCCAGCTTGTCCATAGTTGTAATTGCTGAAATTTAATGTCAAAACATAAAGTCAAAATATGCAATGAATTTAATTAGCATAAAATGTTTTGAATAGTTATTACAATTTCAAAAGCAAAAAATATTAGGTGGGTCAAAAATTTCAATTCGATTGTGTGCTGGTTTAATGGCATGTGGTCATGTGATTTTGTTTATATATTTTTAGAAAATGGTCACATATCCCCAATTATTAAGTAGATATATAATCACATGATGTTTCTAAAATATTAGATAACTTAATCAAAAAAGTAGAATCTTAGTTGACTATATTGCTAAGCAAGGGTACAGTGACCAGAAACCTGAAGGTGATTAGCAATATCAAATTATGATAGAAATGAAGATGATTAACAGCGACAAAAGAGCATAGAGTATAATGCACAAAGATCCCAAATACCGTCATTTATTAAAGTCCATAAAACTCACTACGAAAATATGATGTGTCATATTATTGACCGAATTTTTTTATAAAATTTGTTAATTTTGTGTAGCTTTGCTATTTTTTTTTTTTAAAACAGGTGTAGCTTTACTACTTTTGAACTTAGCACGAGATGTGCATGGGCATGTCGTTGGTAGGACAATTATGATAGAAAGTCTATGAACCCATAAACAGAACCAGAAAAACTGATGTGTGGCTGAGATCTATTGTTTATGTAGTGGGGTTTACACATGAATTAATCTCAACCATTAATTCTGTTTTTGGAAACTTTTCTGGGCATTGCTTTCGGGGATAGTAGTACTGCTGCAATTATGGGGATTCAATTCAACAATTTCATGATTATAGTGATTGACAAATGATAGACATGTATTTTTTATTTTTTTGAGAAGTGGCATATAGCATATTATATAATGATAAAAGAAAGAGTACATAAGTTCACAAACAATACCAAGACTAAAATGTTGGCTCCAGCTCACATGGAGCTGTTATTGAAGGGTGGCTCTCTAAGTCAAGAAGTAGGAGGGAAGATGGCAGGTGGCAGCCAATCCAATAACTCTCATTCCTTGACTTTGTTTCCCTCTCCTCGTGTATATATATAGAGACTGAGAGGAAGAGAAGAGATAGGCAACACAGAGTGAAAGAGCTGTGTGTAAGAGAGTGAATTCTATAGAGGGTTGTGAGGTGTGAGTTGTAATCTCCCTCTGGGATAATTTTATAGTGAGAAATATCTCTCCGTAGACGTGGGCTATTGTTGAACCACGTAAATCTCTTGTGTCTCATTTCTGTGTGTGTGATTGCTTTCTGAGTACCCCTAATCCTAACAAATGGTATTAGAGCCTCGTTGGTCGATTTTTCAAAAAAACAGGGTGTGTTTTTCAGAATTGCCCAGAAATTAAATTGCTTGAAATTCACTTTTGAGCATACCAAGAGGAAGCCCTCGATTAGAAGAGTCCAAAACTGCAAAGCAGAGCCCTAGACAAGACTTCACGATCTCTCACGCGCCACCTAAATTTGGCGAGTGAAGCCTAGTCGCAAACACGCATAACACGCGTCGTTAACAGAACCGACGCGTCATCCCAGTCTCAGACACGCGCTTGACGCGTGGCGGAAGGAAGGAGAGTGTTATGTGCGTAATAGTGACGTCACTGACATGTGTCATCGCCACGTCAGCGCCAGGTCAGCACCACGTCATCGTCAGGTCTGAGCCACATGTCTGACACATTAGCGCCACATATTCGCCAAGTTAGAGCCACATGTCTGCCACATAAGCACGCTAGTTAACCAGTCAACCCGTTGGGTTTACCTGACCAGACTCGACCCAGAGGCAGAGGGTTTATCTAGTGCTACACGGCTGCGGTACATTCGCAGATCTGAACCGTCAACATATTTTGGCTAGATCTGAGCCATTTAAAGTCCGATTTTGACAATCCAATAGTGGTTTCCAACTATTTGAAGTATTCCGAAGAGATCTTTACGGTCAGATTTTTGAATCATAGTTCCTGTAAAAAGTAAGAAGACGATGGAAGAATCTACTTCAACTTCGGGATCAATGATCAAATTAAATGCTTTCAATTATGGAATCTGGAAGTCGTAGATAAAAGACGTCCTATACTGTAGAGACTTGTTTGACCCTATTGCTCTAAAAGGGGTTAAACCGAAAGTAGATAAGGATGAAGACTAGATAAAGATGAATTGGAAGACTGTCGATCAGATCAGACAATGGATAGACCACCGTGTGTTCTATCATGTCGCCCAGGAGACAGATACATATGTCCTCTGGACAATGTTAGAAGGAATGTATCAGTCGAAGACTGCTCGGAACAAAGCCTTGGTGATGAGAAAGCTTGTAAATCTAAAGTTGAAGAATGATGTGTCTGTCGCCGAACACACCAGTGAATTCAAGAATCTGGTGAATCATCTTGCAACCGTCAAGATGCCCTTGGACGATGAAATGTAAGTCGTACTACTGCTCAGTTCTTTACCGGACAGTTGGGAAACGCTGGCAGTTTCTCTCAGCAACTTTGCACCAGAGGGGAAGCGACCATGAGCATAGTCACAGACGCCATGTACAATGAAGAGACAATGAGGAAAGACATAGGAGGTAATCAGTCCCATGCTCTTGTCACAGAAAATAGAGGCAAAGACAGAGGTAGAGGAAGAGACAGAGAAAGAAGCAAGAGTAGAGGCATATGAAAAAATAGGAGTAAATCCAGAGGCAGTAAAAGTCAAGGGAACTCTAGCTTCACTTACTTTCACTGTGGCCAGGAGGGTCACACAAAAAGGAACTGCCCAAACCGGAAAGATAAAGGCCAAAGCAGTAAGTCAAAAGCAGATGAGAACACGACAGCCACAACAACTGATGAAATATTTCTTACAGTTGGTGAAGAAGAGGATTGCCTTCACGTGGCTGAACACAGCTGTACAGAGTGGGTGATAGGTTACCCTAGTTTATAGTTTAGAAACAATTCTTAAGATATATTTATGTGTGTGTTGATTTCCGACCACACTGCCAATCAAGCACTCAACTGGAGAACACTGGCAGAATAGATTAAACCCGAATAACCTGTCATAGAAAGAAGAGATTCTGGCAGTGGTTCGTCCACCCGGGGTCACTCCCACGATCAAGTCAATTATCTCTCAAAGATAGCAAAAGTGCTAAACTCACTATTCAGAATACAAAAAACATACCTTAGACCCATGGGGGTGCCTATCTTTTATAGCCAACACAATCCTAGTCCCTATAGAAGCCTAGCTTCAATGGACTTAGGACTACTGCTAATCTTGGACTATTAGTAAGATTGGGATAAACTCTCTAAGCGTCCTATCTTTACCCATACTGAAGCCCTCTATCATTTTAGGACTCTTATCCGCTTATCCCGGATTCCGATATTCTCGCAGATAACCTTGGCCTAGCCGAGATCACTTCGGCGTCATGACCAAGACACGTGGCACCTCGGCTGGCACTTCGGTGACACTTCAGCCACGTGTTGTCACTCAAAAATTATGTCCCCACAGCTGCCCCTTAGGTTCTATTACCTCGGCATTATGAGGTGATAGAACCTATATCATTTCTTTTAGCACGTCGGCTAAACTTGCTTTATCCTTCATTACCGAGGTAATATCTTTTATCAGCTTTACATGGCCAAGATTTGTAATTTGTTTTTATCAATGCCTTGGAACCAGTAACCATTGTTCAAGTTTCTCAGTCGAGATCATCCTCCTAGCCGAGGTTCTGTTTCATTAAATCAAGAACTCGAAGAGTTTCTTTATGCATATGAGCTGTTACGCACAGTAACTCAACCGCTTTTGCCACACGTCTTTTCCCTATCGATCCGTGCCTGACACGCGCTATCAGGTTGCGTCATTTCTGTGTGCGCCGCCTGACAAGCACGTCGTCCAAGGCACATTGATTGCAGTTTTGTCGCCATTTCGAGTTTTGATCAAAACTTCTTCCCTCTCCCGTCTTTTCACTTTTGCATCTCTACTCTCGTGCAAACTCTCTCTCTCTCTCTCTCTCTCTAATCTGCCATTGCCATCCCTCTAAAGCTTTCTGAAATGATTTCTGTTCACCTCCTCCGGCGAGATTTCTGCTAATCTTCTCTGGTTGCTGCCACCATCTGATTCTGGCGACCCTAACACCGGCCTCACTGTCTTTGGCAAGTCACTGTTCCTTTGTTTCAATTTCTAGTTCACTTCGAACTCTGCCACAATTTGAACTCTGTTACTGTGACTTTGTCCATGTTTTTTGATTACAAATCTGTGCGTATGATCTTATTCATGTATTAGGGCATGTTTATCTTATGATTTGTTTCTGCATTATCCATTCTCGAGTATACATTTGCTCAAATACTTGTTCATTTCACCACTGTTCTTGGCCTTGCACCATTGCACACACTCTGTCACAGTGTTCTTGATAGAGCATCATCATTTTCTGGCTCTGAATCACATTCCTGTTTTTGTTTTCTGTGTTTTCTCTAGATTCCTGCCTTTAATCCTTTGTATATAGAGACTTAGGTTTGGGATTTGTCGTAGAACTATAAACTGTAGGAAAAAACTGAGACTTCACTTTAGATCCTGAAAAATCTTTACCCCAGCATTCGTTTAGGTTTTGCCGAGGTCCTCTAACCTTCACAGAACCCAAACCACACACCTTCCCCCTAAGCTGACGTCATGGGTATGCGGAGGCATAGGGAAGATACCCCAACTAAATTAGAGTACTTCAGGCAAGAATTTTCCATCCCAGCCGATGTTTACTTGAGGTTGGCTAGGGAGGACAACTCCATCATGCCTGATGGAAACCTCATGCCTTTTCCTGTCGTTGCCTTTATAGAATGTGGACTTAGGTTTCCACTAGACACCCTTTTCCGAGAAGTCCTCCATCATTACAAATTGAACCCGATGCAGCTTGCCATTAACTCTTACTAAGTTATCAATGGTATAATTGCCTTAGCCAAAAAAGAGGATCCTAGGGTTATCCTTGCCGACGTCCAGTATTGCTACACCATGTGTGGTCTTAAATTAGAAAAAGGCTATATCTACTATCTTAAGCCGAGGTCCACAGAGTACAAACTCGTCGCCGACCTCCCAGACTCCAACAAGGGAGCCAGGGATGATTACTTCATTGTCTCGGGCAACTGGGAGTGTGCTCCAAACGAGGATCTTCACCTCCACCCTCTTAGTCGAATAGTTTTCAAAGAGGGTGATGGTAAGAACCATGAGTTTACTTTACCTGCTTTCAAGTCTCTAATGCTCTGCCCCTTCTATTGGTTCTAACATATGTTTTCTCTTGCAGCTCTTCTACAACCACCAAAGGGCTTTTGCAAGTCCTTCTTTCCTAGCAAGGACCTTAAAAAGTTGCTGGATCTACCAGTTTCTCGGCAGAGAGCTCCTCTGCTGTTAAACTTTATCCCGACTTACAAGTCGGTGCTCCCCGACATCCCAAAGAATAAGAAAAGCAAGTCTTCATCGTCTGCCACAACTCCTCCAGCAACCTCTTCATATGGGCCAGATCAGGGGTCAACCTCTAATTTAGCTGAGCAACCATTGACCTTGGCTCCACAGCTGATCCCACCATCTCAACGCCAACGCCGACACCGAGTTGCAGTTGTTAAGATGGGCCACAAAAAAGCCGTTGCTGATGATCTTCTGGCCAACATCCCCGACGCTATAATTACTCAACCATCTCAGCCTCAACCAAAGCCAAAGCCCAAGAGACTGAAAAAGGCCCAGTCCAAGGCAATGGTGACTCAGATTGACTCAGATTGACACTGAGGATACCTTGCCAATTTCAAAATTGGCCGAGAGCGAGAAGACCCCCACCACTGCGGAGAAGAGGTCTGCCGAGGCTAAACCATCCCCTTCAACTCGGTCGAAGAGGCCGAGATCCGAGTCGGCCACCACCTTGGGGACCATCAAATCAGATGCTCCCTGGGCTCCCAAAATTACCATCAAGGACAAGCCGGTGAGAGCTGGTGACAGCGCCGATGACATTGAAGTCGGCGTTGCACTCTCTACCGCCTTGCTCCTTCCACAAGATCTCAATCGTAACGCCGAGATGAGCGAGTACGAAAATTTTGTTCTATCGTTGCAACACTCTGTGCAAGTAAATCCCTTCACTTGGTATTTTTCTTTCTCTGTTTTTGTAACACTTGGAAAATATTTACTAACTTTTGCTTCTGTTCTCTTCCAGGCGATCCGGCATTGCCACTCCTTTGCTTTGCAAGCCTTCAATATAAAGAAGGAGTTGACAAATAAAACCAAAGAGGCTGCAAACTCACAAAGGGCTCGTAACAAGGCCGAGGGCAAACTGAAGGCCTTGATAGATCAGGCTGAGGTCGCCAAGAAGGCTCAGGATGAAGCCGAGGAAAAGACTGACGTTGCGGAGGCCATTGCCAAGGTCCTTGCGGCCGAAAAGAAAGAGGCCGAGGCAAAGATGGTCGAGACCCAAAAAGAGCTTCAAGATGCCCTGGCCACAAAAAAGGCCGAGATCAAAGTGGCTGATAAGAAGGCGTACGCCGAGGGGGTAGCCGATGTTAAAGAGGACTATATGAAACAAGTGAAGCAGGCATGAAACAAGTGAAGCAGGCATGCAACAACGGTTTTACCCTTGGTTGGATGGCTGCTCTGAAGGAGTTGGCTGTCCCCGAGGACTCTCCCCTCTGGAATGCCAGCAACCTCGTGCTACCAATCCCCCCAACTCCAAGCCAATCCGAAGATGATTCTGAGTCCGAGGAGGAAGCTTTGGTCAGGAAGAAGAAGGACGCTACTAGGGCCACGTCCCTTGCTCTGAATGAGCAAGTTGTAGACTTGTCTCAAGATGAGGAGGGTGAGGTTTCCAAAGACGCCACTCCTGAGAAGACAACATCGGACGTGCCCATCGCCGAGAAGAGCATCGACCAGACTCTCCAAGAGATCGATGCCGAGCTCGCGGCTGAGAAGGCTGTCGAGGAAAATTCTCAAATGTCTTCTGAGCCCCATACCCAGCCAGCCAACGACGCTGAATAGTCTAGCCTTTTGCTTTGTACTTAGTACTTTTTCTTACTTTTTTGAAACAATGTAAGCTTTGATCTGGCCGAAGTGCCACTTTTGTAATTCTGAACAATTACTCTTTTTGTAGGCCGAAGTGCCCTTTTCTTGAATACAACTTATTATTTTGAATGCTTACATGTTTGCGTTCTTTATATGAGTCTATACTTAGAATAATTTGCATGTTTTTCAAGCATACACCTTAATTGTGCAATCTCCTCGGGGTGATATACCTCGATTACAACCCATCGGTTTACCTTGGCAAGTACGTAAGTACTTCTTTTAATACAACCTTGGCTTAACTTGTAAATTTTTCTAAAAAATTTCAACAAGTGTTTAGACCAATCTTCTTTTAGTCATAACCTCGGTTTAACTTCAACTTGTAAATTTTCCTTAAAATTTCAACAAGTGCTAAACATGACCTTAGTTTAACTTCAACTTGTAAATTTTTCTCAAATTTCAACAAGTGTTAAACATGACCTCGATTTAACTTTAACTTGTAATTTTTTCTCAAATTTCAACAAGTGTTAAACATGACCTCGGTTTAACTTCAACTTGTAAATAACCCTGGAATAATTTCAACAAGTGTTAAACATGACCTTGGTTTATGAATTCTATCTCCCAAGTATCATTCTCCAGTCCTCTATCCCCTAATGTGAACTTAAGTTCCATTTAGGTTCTCATTAAGCATGTGGCTTTTGAACTTGTTGCTGAGGTCAGGTTCAAACAAAGACTGGCCTCGGTTATCGACCTTGGCCTCTTTGTTAATCTGACTGATATGTACTTAATTCCAATCTGTGTTTGACTCTGCCGACATGGCGTATCCATGTTAGTTCAACTTAGTTCAACTCTATTATAATAAGTCTAAGTTTATTTGTCGCGGGTCAATCAGAAACATCGTCTAGATATCACACAGTTTTGAAATCAAAAAAATCAAGCTAAAATTTTATTAATTGCTTTGGCTAATAACAGAAAACTTTAAAAAACAAGAAAATCTAATGATAGAAGAACTTCAGGTTACAAGTATTCCAGGGTCTTGGCAACTCTTTGCTTTCACTGTCTTCAAGCCGATATGCCCCATTGCCCAATACCGAGATAATTCTATATGGTCCCTCCCAATTTGGGCCAAGCTTGCCCTCTCTGGGATCCTTCTTGTTGCCAACGACCTTTCTCAGGACGAGGTCCCCAACTTGGAACTCTCTTGGGTTGACCTTTTTATTGTAAGCTCTAGCAAGCTGTTGCTGGTATGCCCCCAGTTGAATTGCTGCTTTCTCCCTTCTTTCTTCCAAATGTTCCAGATCTCGAGCCAAAAATGCCTCATTGGTCCCATTTTTTACTCCTTGGGTCCTGATCCTTGGGATGCCGACCTCCAGGGGGATGACTGTTTCAGTGCCATAAGCCATGGCAAATGGGGACTCCCCAGTCGATCTTCTCGGCATGGTCCGATATGCCCAGAGAACATTGGGCAATTCTTTCACCCACTTTCCCTTTGCTACTTCAAGCCTCTTCTTGATCACATCCAATATAACTTTATTGGAGGCTTCTGCTTGACCATTACTTTGGGAAAAGCATGGGGTAGAGTAATAGTTCTTGATTTTATACTTTGCACATAAGCTCTTGATTAACTTACTATCAAATTGTGTGCCATTATCAACTATTATTGCTCTCGGAATCCCAAACCTGGTGATGATGTTCTTCCAGATGAAGCTTTTCACATCATCGTCCCGAATCTTTGCAAGGGGTTCAGCTTCTATCCACTTGGTGAAGTAATCTGTTGTTACCAGCAGGTACTTCCTTTGTCCAATTGCTTGAGGCAGTTGCTCAACAAGATCCATGCCCCACTGGGCAAATGGTCAAGGACTGGACACTCGGTTCAAGTCGGCTGTTGGTTGGTGTATCAAAGGTGCAAACCTCTGACACTTTTCACACTTCTTGACATAGGCTTCTGCATCTTTCTGTATGTAGGGCTACCAATACCCCTGGGTAATGGCCCTATGAGCAAGTGACCTGTCCCCAGCGTGGCTTCCACATACTCCTTCATGTATTTCGTACAGGAAATCTTCAACTTGTGCAGGATGTACACACCTCAAAAGGGATCTAGTAAAAGATCTTCTATAGAGATGTCCCTCTGCTGTTAAGCTGAATCTTGCCAACTTCAGTCTGATCTTGTGCGCTTCTTTGTGATCATCTGGCAATTTTCTTTCTTTTAGGAATGCTATGATTGCATCCATCTAACTTGGTCCCATCTCCACACACATTGTTTCACGCTCTGTGCTCAGTAGTTTGATGCTTGGGCCTGACAAGTAGTCAACCATTATCGTCCTTGCCTCTCCAGGTTTCATTGCACTAGCCAGGTTGGCTAGAGCATCAGCATGATTGTTGTCATCTCGGCTAACCTGCTGTAGTCGGCAATTCTGAAACATGGCTACTAGTTTGCCTACCTCTTTTACATAGGCCGACATTCTTTCATTTCGGGCTACGTATTCGCCTGTCGCCTGGTTGACTATAAGCTGAGAATCACAGAAGACTATCACTTCATCTGCTTCCACTGCTACTGCCAGTTTCAGTCCTACAATTAGTGCTTCATACTCTGCTTCATTATTTGAGGCCTTGAACCCCAAATGATTGGATTGCTCCTGTATTTGCCCATCTGGAGATACTAGCACTACTCTTGCCCCTGCTCCTTGCCGGTTTGAGCTCCCATCAACAAACAATCAAAAGGAGTTGCCGATGTAAATGCTGCAGGGCCTGAGTTTTTCGACCTTCCTATGTTCTGTTGTCCCCAGTTGGGTTTCTCTTTGTTCACTTGGATCTCGTATACCTCGGCTCAACGGAGCTCGATGTACTATGGAGCCTAGTGTGAACTTGGCCACGAAGTCAGCCAGAACTTGGCCTTTGATTGCTGTTCTGGGTCTGAATTCCAGGTCATACTGGCCCAAGGCCACTGCCCATCTGGCTATTCTGCCTATCAGATCTCCCTATTGCAACAGGGACTTCAAAGGATGCTCAGTTAGCACCATAATTTTGTGGGCTTGAAAGTAATGATTCAGCTTCTTAGAAACCATTACTAAAGCTAGAGTTAACTTCTCCAAGGGTAAATACCTGGTCTCTGCATTAGCCAGAGTTTTACTTACACAATAAACAACCTTTGGTCTCCCCTTTCTTCTCAGATAACCACAGCACTTACTGCATATTCTGAAACTGCCAAGTATAGGACCAGCTCCTCTCTAGGTTCTGGATTTAAGAGAACTAAAGCCGTGGTCAAATATTTCTTCAAGTCGGCTAAGGCGACTTCATACTCCTCTGTCCATAAGGAGTCTGTGGCTTTCTTCACCAGGCTGAAGAAAGGTTTACACTTGTCAGAGCTTCTGCTTATGAACCTATTCAGGGCTGTAGCCCTTCTAGTCAACATCTGTACTTGCTTTGCCGACGTTGGGCTCTGCAGTTCTAAGATGGCTTTGATCTGATCGGGGCTAGCCTCAATGCCCCTTCTGGTAACCAAATATCCTAAGAACTTACCAAATCCGACTCTAAATGCACATTTTGATGCATTGAGTTGGAGCCAATATGTTCTAAGGATGTTGAAAATGACCTTTAAGTCTTGCAGATGATCCTCAGGTTCCTTAGTCTTCACGAACATGTCATCTATGTATACCTCTACTGTTCTGCCAATTAGATGTCTGAACATCTTGGTCACCAACCTTTGGTAAGTTGCTTCTGTATTTTTCAGCCCTTTTGGGGTGATAAATGTAGTCTTCTCCTCGTTTGGGGGTACATAGCTATCTGATGGTACCCCCTGTAAGCATCCAAGATGCTCATCTTTCCATGGCCTGAAGTGGCATCCACCAATTAGTCGATCTTGGATAATGGGAAGCTGTCTTTGGGACAAGCCTTGTTCAGGCTGGTGAAGTCCACACAGACCCTCTACTTCCCATTCTTTTTCTTCACAACTATCGTGTTTGATAGCCAGGTTTGGTAGTTTACTTCTCGAATGGCTCTGGCCTCTAGAAGTTTGCCGACTTCTTCCTCTACTGTCTCGACATGCATCAATGTCGGTCTCCTTGCTCGCTGGGTGACAGGTTTAGCCGACCTGTCAACATTTAGTCTATGGCAAGTGACCTCGAGGTCAATGTCAGGCATCTCATACGGTGTCCAGGCAAACACCTCAATGTTTGCTCTCAAGAATGTCTCCAGTTCTTTTTCCTCCTCCTCGGCCAAGCCCGAGCCAAGAAGAAAGAAGCACTCTTCGTCCCCTTGCTGGACAAGGACTTTCTTCAAGGCTTCCTCACTCTTTGCCGACGTCCTCGAGGACTTCCATGTCCTCTTCCTCAACCTTTGCTGTTTCTGGTTCTCTTATGTTGCAGGTGGTTTTCATTACTGCCATGGAGCAATTTTTTGCTTGCCCTGATCCACTCTGACTTCTTCAATTCCATGCTCTGTTGGGAATCACAACAGCTGGTGCAATGTTGAAGGGACAATCCCTATTGCATGCAACCATGGTCTTTCCAGAATAGCATTGTAAGGGAAGAGGGCGTCGATTTGGTGAACTCTGTTTTCACTTTTCTGGTGCTAGCCTGCACCTCCAAACTTGCTGCCCCCAAGGGCCATGTTGGCATTCCATTGAACCCAACCATTGGGCCATTGGACTGCTCCAGGTCATCCTAATAAAGGCCAAGTTCCTTGTAACACCTGACATACATGATGTCACAAGAGCTGCCTTGGTCGATTAAGATGCGCTTCACTTGGTAATCTCCAATTTGGAGGGATATTACCAAGGCATCGTTGTGTAGATGCTGCACCATCTACAGGTCGTCTTCAATAAAGGACACCACTGGTCCCTGGTACTCTTCTGCCCAAGGTCTTTTCTGTCGGACCTGGCACACGTGTTGTAAGTGCTTTACTTTCTGAGTCTCCCCCTATATCTCGTTTTCATCGACCTTCGAGTGGATTACATTAATTACTCGAGGTCTGCCTGCCTG